AGTCCTACCACACCACAACCGAGAAAAAAGCAGACGACCTGCAAAGGCACGAAGGAACACACCCTCTCTCCACCTCACCTGGCCTTGGAGCCTCCTTATCTTGTAAAGCCTTTCACCCCTTCAATCCGCCCTTATGAACGGGCGCTCGTCAGTCTTCACCTCTCAGGTATGTCATCAGCTTCCCCTTTCCCTTCTCCTTCTTTCCTCTTCATCCCTCCGAGGGGTTCCCAGACCCCGGACCGGCACCACCCCACCACCAGCACCAACCTTGACCACATTGTCGATACCCGTCACTACCTCGCAAAGGGAAAACTGCTCTCTCCGGTGGATAGGGGGCTCTCCTCATTGCTCGTTTCCGCATTCCATCACGAGTTTTTCTTTTTCTTTTTTTCTTATCAGGACATTCTTGCTGACTTGGTTCGATCTGATAGGATTATCTCTCGGGTCAGACATCTACCTCTCTCTCTCTCTCTCTCTCTCTCTCTCTTGACTCACCGCTCGGATGCGTGGGCCCCTCTCCCACACAGAACCAAATTTGCTGACCTTTTTTTCTTCTTTCGATACCTTTAGACCACCTCTGGAGGTCTCTTTCTCTATAGAAGCCCGGTCCAGAAACCAGATTTCACCTTGACCATCCCGACTACCCTCACCGCCACTTTCTCAATTGAGCAATCAGCAAGCAAGCCGAGACAAGAGCAATCAGAATGTTCGCTCGAGCCATCCCTCGTGCGGCCCGGGCGCCTATCGCCTCTCTCCCGCCCAAGTCTGCCGTCGGGGTTGCTGCTGCTGCCCTCAGCAGCATCACCGGGGCGCCGTCCAAGACTGACGGACGGGTTGCCGCTCCCAAGAATACGACCGGCGTCCAGAGACGCTGGGCTTCCGGTCCTGCCACGGCCGGCAGCAAGGGGAAGAACGTGCCGGCTACCCAGAAGGCCGCTGCCCCCGCCAGCTCCGTCCCCGCTACCTTCACCATCCGCGTACGTCACGTATCGATCACTCCCGGCCGTCGTCCCCTTCCCTCTGGCCCGTACGCTAACCTCTCCCAACAGGACGGTCCCATCTTCCAGGGCAAATCGTTCGGTGCCAACACCAACATCACCGGCGAGGCCGTCTTCACCACGTCCCTCGTCGGCTACCCCGAGTCCATGACGGACCCGTCGTACCGAGGCCAGATCCTCGTCTTCACCCAGCCGCTGATTGGCAACTACGGCGTGCCGTCCATGGAGCGCGACCAGTGGAACCTGCTCAAGTACTTTGAGTCCCCCCACGTGCAGTGCGCCGGCATCGTCGTGTCCGACGTCGCCCTCAACTACAGCCACTGGACGGCCGTCGAGAGCCTCGGCCAGTGGTGCGCCCGAGAGGGCATCCCCGCCATCTCGGGCGTCGACACCCGCGAGATCGTCACATACCTCCGCGAGCGCGGCTCCTCGCTGGCCCGCATCTCGGTGGGCGAGGAGTACGACGCCGACGAGGACGAGGGTTTCGTCGACCCCGGCCAGATCAACCTGGTGAAGCGCGTCAGCACCAAGGCACCCTTCGTCATCGAGTCCCCCGGCGCGGCCTACCACGTCGCCCTTCTAGACTGCGGTGTCAAGGAGAACATCCTGCGCAGCCTGGTCAGCCGCGGCGCCTCGGTCACCGTCTTCCCTCACAACTACCCGATCCACAAGGTCGCCCAGCACTACGACGGGGTCTTCATCTCCAACGGACCCGGCGACCCCACCCACTGCCAGGAGACGGTGTACAACCTGGCCCGCCTGATGGAGACGTCGTCCATCCCCATCATGGGCATCTGCCTGGGCCACCAGCTCCTCGCCCTGGCCGTGGGTGCCCGCACCATCAAGCTCAAGTATGGCAACCGCGCCCACAACATCCCGGCCCTGGACCTCACCACCGGCCAGTGCCACATCACCAGCCAGAACCACGGCTACGCCATCGACTCCAGCACCCTGCCCGACGACTTCAAGGAGTACTTTGTCAACCTCAACGACGGCAGCAACGAGGGCATGATGCACAAGACCCGCCCCATCTTCTCCACCCAGTTCCACCCCGAGGCCAAGGGCGGTCCCATGGACTCCTCCTACCTCTTTGAGAAGTACCTCCAGAACGTCAAGCTTGCCAAGGATAGCCAGGCCGTCTACAAGGACAACAGGCCTACCCAGTTCCTCCTCGACATCCTCAGCAGGGAGCGAGTCGGTGTCGACCCCACGCCTCTGGCTGGAAGCGGTTGAGGAACGACAGTGCTGAGCGAGCGGAGCGGGAAGGTCACCGGTAGAGACCCCGTCGGAGGTGGAGGTGCTAGGTGGCTGCATCCGAGGTCCACCGGAGTAGAGTATCCCTGGACGAAGGACTTGGGCGGGAAATTTTTCTTGAAGAAGAAAATGGCGGATGGGTGTTTTTGGTTTTTTACTTTTTATGTTCCTCTCATCTTTGAAATTACAATGAATTGATAGCAATCTCGAGAGCCTATACACTGACCTTGTTATATTTTTTGACCTGTCCCAACGCCCAGTTACCATGACCTTTTTTTCTTTTCTTTGAGAACAAAAAAAAAGAGAAAAAAAGAGGGGAAAAAAAAAGTTCACCTCAGATCAGCCATGTTGCCAAGTACTAGCAGTATGAGGTTATGACAATAACCGCTCGATAACCCCATCACCGATCCAAACCAGGCAGGTACCTATCACTCCTAGGCCTCCCACCTCCATTCCTCCTCCTCCTCCTCCGGCCGCCGCCGCCGCCGCCGCCGCCAGGGCCAGGGGGAGGAAGGAGACGACCTGGCCCCCTACCGCCACCCCGCTGCCTATGCGGCGGCCTGATGCCCTCAAAGACCTCCTTGCCCCTATCGACGAAGCTATCGGCATCCTCGAACGAGTACCGGTTTATGTCCCGGCCGTAAGGGCCCCTCCTGTCGGTGTAGAAGGAGTGCATGCTCGACAGACGACGGCGGGCCAGGTCGTCCGACACGGGGGCGAACTGGACAGGCGGATAGGACCGGGTGGTACGGCCGCCCGAGGAGGCGGGAGGTGGGAACGGACCGGGACCGGAACGCTTGGCTCTCGGACCCGTCGGGGGTTCGAGCAGACTTCTCGGACCCGTGGGGGCGGACGGGGGGGCACCGCCGCCACCGCCGGAGGTGGGAAGGCCGGGACCAGGACCGGGTGCGCTGCCGGGTACGTTGCCGGAAGCGGTGGTGTGCTGGGCCGTCCCGTCGGGTGAGTAGACGACCTCCCAGCGTTTCGACGATCGAGGGTGCCCGTTGCCGCTGCCGCTACCGCCGACGTCCCGCGTCTCGGCCTCGATCCAGTCGGCCACCTTCTCCGGGGGCACGTAGTCGACGAACAGGGCCTTGCGGTTGCTCTCGTTGGGCCACACCGTCCCGTGGAGGCGGGAGCGCACGCGACGGGCAGCGGCGGTGCTCGTCAGCGAGACGAGGGCGTGGGTGCGGATCTGGTCCAGGTGGAAGGCCGTGATGACGTCGGCGGACTCGTCGGCGGCGGCGGCGGCGGCGGACGAGGAGAGGCTGGCTATGTGCGTCTGCACGTCTGCCGGTCGCAAGGGCCGCATCAGGTTGGAGATGTAGAGGGCTGATGTGGGTACGTGGAGGGACGGAGGTGCGTCCGCGTCTGCGTCCGCGTCTACGTCCGCGTCTACGTCCGCGTCTGCATCGGGAGCTGGGGCCGGGGCCGGGGCCGGGGTCGGGGCGGGGCTGGCGTCGCGTCGGGGTCGTTGCTGCGCGTCATCGGCTGTCGGCTCCGACTTGTCATCTTGGTCCATCTGTACGTCTGCCATGGGTGCGTCTGTCGGAGCAGCAGCGTCGGACTCTCCGGGCCGGTCGTCGTCGGTGGTGGCGGCAGGGGGAGGAGGGGGGGGAGGTGTCTCTGCTTGAGGCTCAGCTTCAGCTTCGGCTTCGACTTCTACCTCGGCATCGGCTTCGGCATCGGCTTGTGTCTCTTCCGCGCCAGCGGTGTCATCCATCTCGACATCTCCGTCGTGGTGGTGGTGGTGGCCGTCGTCGTCGTCGTCGTCGTCGTCGCCATTCTGACCCTCCTCTCCGTTGGGCGCCTGCTGGTCAGCCTGATCGGCCTCTTCCAGACGCGCGACGAGTTCGGCCTTGAGCCCGGCTTGGGCGAGGCCACGATTCTTGAGCTCGGTCTTCAGGTCTGCGACCTTGAGTTTGGACCAGTCGGTCATTGCGGCGTTTGCAGATGGGAGGCGCGTTGCGGTAGCGCGCGTGCGTTGCGTGCGTGCGTTGCGTGCGTGCGTTGCGTGCGTGCGTTGCGTGCGTGCGTGTTGCGTATTATTAGGGAATTGAAACAAGGAAGGGGGCTTCTTTTTTTTTTTTTTTGTTGGGGTTGGAAGGGTGGAAGTTTGACCCGAGTTTCTCTCTTTGGAAGCTTGGTTTTATCGGTTATCTTACGCGTTCGCGTCCGCGTCGCTCCGTGATGATTCGAGTATGAATTGGTGTTGTTGCATTGATGTGATGAAGGAGTCGGAGGGAAGGAAAGAAAAGAAGTGTGAGGAGAACGAAATCGTTCAACTTGTTGCTGCTGCTGCTGCTGCTGCTGCTGTTGTTGTTGTTGTTATTACTGTTGCTTGGGCTGGTTTAAAAAAAAATTAAAGATTTTAATTACAATGAAATAATAGAGGTAAAATGGATTTTATTATTTTATTTTATTATTTTATTTTATTTTATTTTATTTTACCATTGAATCAGTGACGCTGGTGGACAGAAGAAACATAAAGTGGGGGTGGGGGGGCCTTTTTTTGAACTCTTTGGCACCATGTAATCTGTACTCCGTAGAATGGAAGGTGTTGTTGGTATGATTGTTTTTTTTGGTCTGGCCTGAGGCTGAGAGAGGTCATGGACAGAAAAAAAGAAAAAGAAGTAGAAGAATAAAGGGAAAAAAACTTCTCTACATGTACACGTCCGTCATCCTATCATGAGAGCGAATATCCCCCGCCTAAGCATTGGTATCGTCAAGCCCTCTTGCGATAGCGATGATAGATTTTGTTGGATCATCGCATCAAATAGCATCCCCCCCTCCCCTTTTTTTTTCTGGGGGGGGGGGTTCTCCCATCGTTCTCATTAATTCACTGAGACTTGCAGAAAATAAGATAAGAATAAGAAACAAAAGGATAGATGACACATGATACTCTGAAATTCGGTAATGATACTTTACAAGCTCTCTATCCGTACTCATCCCGGACATACGAGGGACAGGTGAGTCACTAGATATACACACACGGCACGAGCACGGACAGGACAGAATACCTCGGACACTCTAAACATCCAGTCCGTCAACGACGACTCCCTTGGTCCAGTTCCACTGCATCATCCTGGAGACGGCGAAGGCGCACTCCTCGTCGACCATGGCGCTGACGAGGTAGAGGGCCGCGTCTATGCCGGCGCTGTTGCCTCCGGACGTGATGACGCGGAGACCGCCGAGACGCATGGCTGCGCGACGGACGATGGACTCGCGACGGCTGTTGGAGTCCTTCCAGGACATGCTTCCCTTTCTTCGGGGACGGGGTCAGCAACGCTTCTTCTTCTCTCTCTCTCTCTCTCTCTGTGCTGCTGAGGAAGGAAAGGATGGGGATCAAGGATGGAGAAGAGGAGGGGGAGAGGATAGATCATCGTACCTAGCATTGGAAGGGCGCCTTCCCGAGTCTGACTTGCGACGGATATAAGGGCTAGAGTCCTCCCCGTCGAGGTCGAAGCGGAGGTTGTTGACGACGTAGCGGGCATCCTCGACGATGTCCGTGCGCTCTTGGAGGTTGCGGGTGGCGGCGTCGCTGCACAGATTCTCAAAGGTGGTGAGGAAGTCGGGGTGGGTGGTGGCCGAGAGGCCCGAGAGGATGCCCTCCTTGGCCAGGAGGAGGGAACCGGTGCAGACGGAGAGGAGGGTGCGCTCGCGGGCCGGCTCCTTCTTCTGGAGCTCGGAGAAGTCGACGATCAGGCCGGCGGGCTGGTCCTCGGTCTTGACGAGGGAGAGCATGTTGCCGCCCAGGACGACCAGGACGTCGTAGTCCTCCAGGTTGTCGTGGGCTTCCTTGAAGGTGATGTGGGAGTTTACGATGATGCCCTGCTCGCTCAGGACCTGGGGCTCGCTGCTCGCGAGGGTGATCTCGAAGGCTCTGGAGGCTGGGCGCTGTCAGCCTCACGGCTGTTGCGGCTATTGACGGGATTGGGGTCGGAGAGGAGGGGGGGAGGATACGCACATGGATCATCTCTATCGTGAAGAGCTGTGGAAAAGACCTCGACGGGGCCGGCAAAGTCAAGCAAGTCAAACTTTGGGTGGAGAGCGAACAGGACGTTGATGGGCTCCTGCTCGTCGGCCACGGCCGAGGTCTTGGTTGCAGGCATCTTGAAAACGTAGCGGTATATGTGGACTCGATGGGGTAGATGGATGCATATGGTTCTTCTTTTTATAAAATAAAATAAAAAGAAAAGAAGTAATAAATTGCTGGAGGGAAGTAATTGCTCGAGGGAAGTAGAAGCAGGATTGGATGAGAAGAGAGGGAGAGATGAAGAGGGGCGGGAGGGAAAGCGGGGGGTGGTGGGGAGATATAGAGAGAGTGTGTGTGTGAGAGAAGGGGAGGGGAGAGGGGGGAGGGGAATTGAATGGAAATATATAAAGAGGAGGAACACACACACACACACAAGAGAGGAGGCAATTATTATCAGGTACTGCCAAGAGAGGAAAAGGATAGAAACCCTAGGAGAGAGAGAAACCCTAGGAGAGAGAGAGAGACGGAGAGAGAGACGGAGAGAGAGACGGAGAGAGAGACGGAGAGAGAGAGAGAGGGAGAGAAGAGGGTTCGACCTCTCCATGTACATCACGCGACGACGTTGACAGAGACGATCACCCTATGCGAGACGGCACGACGTGAACTTACGACGGTGACCTCATCCGCCCAGTTCCCAATTCCCAATCGGGTCCCGGGACGATCGAAGTGAGTGACGGTGACGTGGGAGGAGGGGGAGGGGTAGAGGAAGACGACGTAACCGGCTCTCCGTCGACACAGCAGCGGGTATTACGACACGGTCATGGTAGTGTTTCTTAGGTATCGCGATGGGGTATGGAGTATGGAGTCTTGTTGAATTCTTATTAGGTATGCTTTATAATCGTCTTGATTGTTACGGCAGCGGTGTCATAGTCTGTATGCAGCGCGGGTAGTGGTCTAGCGTCATGCAATATGTACTACGTGTATACTTGTTTGTAAAGTTCCTGTTCAAAAGTCTCCGGTCCACCCCACTTTTCTTACTAGCCACCAGAGTTATCAAGAATCGATACTTAAACTTCAACACCGAATAACAGATTGTTAAGCTCTTTCATAGCAATCTAGATAGTAATAGATCAAAAGAGTAGTAGTTATATTTAATATCTAGTATACCAACCCCTAGCCTTTTTGACAGCCGCGAGCCTCCGTGGCAAAGAGGAAATCACGCGGTCAATTTCTCTGATCTATCTTCCACCACACCTCTCGTAGAATGCGCTTAAATTCAGCTATATTAAGGCGGTTTCGTTTCAATTCCTATATATTAGGATGAAGCTCCTTGATTCCCCGTTTCAATAGAGCCTAGATATGCTCAGTTGGATTAAGATCTGGGCTATGGGCGGGCCAATCTTCAAGTAGTTCTGTCATACTTTTTCCGTCCTTTTGAGGTGACCTGAAAAAGCAGAAATGTCCTTGGTTCTTGGATTTGACAAGGACGGTGTCGGATCTCGTAGCTGAAGAGCGTGATCCGACACATGCAAGGCCTCTCTCGAAAATGTGTTTATGTATTTCAGGGGATCAACCGTTTGGATGTTGACACGCTTAGTAGCGTGTGTGAGAACACACCACTAACACGCCGGCAAGTTTCCCACCCTCGCCATCTGCTCGGAAATGGTATCGAGTGACGATGCCACTACGTTGAAATCGGGCGCGTTGCTGGCCATCTTGGACAAGATGAATCACTTCCCGTGATGTAGATGTAAGGAAGAATAAACACCCTGCCTGGGTGTGACGGACCAACCGTGTTGACAACAATAAAACGCGTACCCCGCGCGTAGTCAGCTGACCACCGGGAGAACCCCGGCTACAACTCCATTCTGTCGACGACAAGACAAGACAGACAACTCGTCACGTACGTTTCCCTGCTCTCTCCGCTCGACCATCTTCCCTCTAGGAATGAATGAATCCACTCTGTGGATGAGATGAATGGACCATTCATAAAAATAACACACAAGAAACCCTTCTTGTCACTCCGTATGTTGAGTGGCCAACTGCGGAGCCATCCCCCAAGATATCTCCAATCACATCCCACCCCTCCTTCCAGTCTAGCTGGTTTACTGACTGTTCCCCATCCTCCTGCTGGTCCACAAATGGACTCCTCAGTCCAATCACTTCGTTCTGTTCCTTCGTCTTATGGCTTGTCTGCCAATCCTTTGCCGGGGCACGGGGCAGCCTCTTATATAACTTGAAAGGCTGAAAGGCAAGAAGATGAGAGCCCAGCCGACAATAGTGAGAAGCATGCCGACAGCTAAAGGCAACTGTGTATGAAGTGTGCCATTTATGAAGGGACGCGTAGGTATAGTTCTTACTATCAAACTTGAAAAAGTAGTGCTTGACCGACTGGAAGACAGCGCGTTCACTCTTCGAGTAATACCCATGCTGTTGGCCTTGCGCTGGGCAGACTATAAGATGGCCAAAACGGGGATGTAGAAAATGACGAATATTATGCTAAAGGCGCCAATGGCCCAGCGGAAGTTGACCTTGTCCAAGAAGAGCTGGGCAATGGCTGAGCCAGAAAAGAATGAGGCAATCGTGGCTCTAATCCTGGCATTCTTCTCTTACATCATCTTTCTAGTCTGGTCGCGAGTCATCTTGTGACTCGAGAAAGCTTGCCGAGCCTGTTCCCTTTCGTGATGGTCTATTCGGACCATGTCAACAGCGTGGGCAGCTTATTCTACTGACGTTGGTTCCCTCTGATAGTCGTCAACCTTGTTGTATTCCCTTGGGCCTCGTCCGAGGGCTGGGAACAGTGGTGAATATCCACAACGGGGCACATCTTGCCAGCGGCTTGAAGGTCAGAACCCATTTTCGGGGCATGAGTCTCGTAGGTACGTGTTATAGCATCAGTCACCTGTTCAGAGTCGCCATCGTTGACATTCGTGAAGTTAAGGGCGTCATGCAGCCTATCGGTGTGTAAAGACAGTGCTTCCTGGCTGTTAGGGCTAGCGGCAGCGATCTTGTAGAAGTTGTCAGAAGCCATATGAAGGCGGCCAGCTAACCATGATCGTGAAGATGGCCTCCACAACCATAGGCCATGTGGGTCGATGAAGGCAGATTGAAATTAGCTGTGACGGAAGTCCCCTTGGAACAGTTCCACGGATCGGGACGGCCAAGTGTCATAAGGTGCGCCCTCAGCCTCGTGGGCATACTGGATGTCCGTCAGGTGACTGAGGGTTGCTGGGTCTTCCACATCCTTCAAGGTTTGAGGCCTGACGTCAATGGTCGGTTGGCGTTGCGGCTAGATATACGGTCAGTCTGGAGGCTTACCTCAGGAGTGAAGCCTGGCCACAGTCGCCAGAGCTATAGGAGATATCGGCCATCTGTGTCTTTTGACCAATCCGTGCCAGGCTCGAGGAGACGAGCATCCAAGTCAAGCAGGCCATCTGCACGGCGTTTTCCCGGAGCCTTATGAGGTGGGCGAGGAAGGCCACATTCAATGCGTTCCTGGTCACGGAAGCTGCGTGTGGTAGCCGTAGCTCGTTGGGTAAAGGTCATCGGTTGCCTCACCGAGGGAGGGCCTTCTTCATCCTCGTCGAAAATTCTATCGCTAGAACGGGCTCTTGGATATGGCGTGTCCTTTATGCTGAGAAGTAGGGCGAAAAGTGGGCTGTGTCTTTCTCTGTGGTCGTTGTGCAGGTTGAGGGAAAGGATCATCCACCCTAGCGTCCTGAGAACGGGATCCCTGGCGAGAAAAGGTCGTAGTAGGTTGGTCTGCCATCAGGCGTCGGGAAAAGGGGGTATCATAACTGCTAGCTATGTCTCGAAGCTCCTGGGTGTCTTCTTCCACAATACGAGGCCTAGGAAGAGGTTCGTCAAACGGATAGGCTCTTCTGGGATTTGCGTAGCCTTCTCTAGTAGGTTTAGACGACTAATGGTTTGGCGGCCAGACTCGGTCAGCCTGCTAATAGAGATATCATGGGCGTCAATCTTCTTCTCTAAGCGTTCTAGAGTTGAGAGGACTCGGCTAGCGAAATCAACACTAGAAGTATCGTTATTGGCAGCGTTGATGGCGGCACGGTAACCAGATGAAGTCGGGTCTACACGAGGGCGTGTGTCTAGTGGTGTATTGGCTTGACCAGAGTCGTTGTACGTTGCCGGAACATCGAGAGCAGGCGAATCAGGCATCTGCGGTCTGGTATCACCACCACGGATGGGGGCGCCTCTAGGGGCGTCGCTCGAGGAATCCGACATCTTGGCTGTGATAACCACACGAGAGGTGTGTTGCTATCATCAGAACGACTCCGAGTCGTCGTTGGAGCGTTGGAATGGGAGGTGTGGGCTTCGTCTTGGTAGGCAAAATAGAAAGAAAAATCAGTTTGGGTCGCCAAATAATTATTCTGTGCGTCTGCGGACTCCTTCCTAATAGGGTCATCTCGTAACTCACACCTGACGATGTGATGCTACGTTTGACCCGAAAGCGGAAGGATAACTTAGTTCCTGTTGTAGCTGGAAGATGAGGCTTCCTGCTATTATCTAGCTATTGTGAAGATGTGTGTGCCCGACGTATTGTTCCATCGGACTCGTAGGTCACGGGATCCACAACACACACATAGATCATAGTTTAGTTGCTCTCTCATGGTGATAAATTGATCATCACATCTGCAACAGTTGTGAGCCCGGTTCGCTACAGCAGGTTATCCGCACCACAACAACACCCACCACAGTTAACTGCTTGCAAAGGTAGGAAGCCAATACAATACAACAAGGCAACAAGGCTCTGCCCATCATTTGCCCAACGTGGCCACCACCAGCCCTACTGCCGGCTTCTCCGAACTCAAGCTAGATGCCTCAAGCCTCCCCAAGCTCAAACCCAACGGCGAGAACTTCCTTAGATGGTGTTCAGCGTGGAGGGTAACCTTCAAGGTCTCCAACCTGCGGACATTGATCAACGGCACCAGCACCTAAGATACCTCGTATGAGACCGACGACGCGAAGGCTCTCATGTACCTCTTCTCGGCCGTGGACGGGACCTGCTTCCCCTCGTTACATCAGAGGATACAGCATCAGAGGCGCGGATTACTATTTACGATATCAACAAGGTCAAGACCTCCAGGTACACCTTGACAGATTCCACCAGACATGGGCTAGGCTTCACAAGCGTTGTGTCACATTACCCAGGAACTGTCCATATAATTCAGGCCGATGACACAACCAGACACTATCAAGGTATTGTTCTTCCTCTCTACACTGCCAGACAGCATGAACAATATAATCAATAACCTCTCGACACGAGGTAATAATACATTCCACCACATCGAATCAAGATGCTTGATATTGCTTCCCGTAACCAAGACGAGCAGAACCAGGCCGCCTACTACACTAGTACGACCAAAACCACCAACAGAGACAAGGCAAGTACAGCCCGTGCTGGAGGCGGTCCTCAACCCTACCGTGCCTCGACACAATCTACCAAAACCGGCCACACCAGCGCCACGGCCAACTCTGGAAATGAAAAAAAAAAAAAAAAAAAAAAAAAAAAAAAAAGCACATGGAGCAAGAAACATGAGCCAGAGAAAAAGTATGTTACTGGCCACATTTGTAGTGAANAGTACAGCCCGTGCTGGAGGCGGTCCTCAACCCTACCGTGCCTCGACACAATCTACCAAAACCGGCCACACCAGCGCCACGGCCAACTCTGGAAAAAAAAAAAAAAAAAAAAAAAAAAAAAAAAAAAAAAGCACATGGAGCAAGAAACATGAGCCAGAGAAAAAGTATGTTACTGGCCACATTTGTAGTGAATACCGCAAGCTTGCCGTCCACAAAGCCAAGAAGAGCCTCCCATTCCAAGCCCTACCACCACTCCGTCTGCCATACAAGCTACCACAGACAATGATCCTAACATGGCTCTGCTTGCAACCAAGCGAGATCGCATCCCATGGCCATGCCCACCATATGCCGCCATCCAGGCTTATGCTGTCAGCACTCATCCTACCTCTCTGCTAGGCTGGATATTTGACTCCAGGGCGTCTCAACACATGATGGGATGTGTCGTAACTTTACACAATTGTCTAGACGTGATCGCATCATCAAAGTGGCCGGGGTGGCACAATATGCGTCGCGGTGCCTAGCTCACGGTCCCTCCTGCGTAACGGGAGCTGGAATACAGGCATTCTCTTTTCCTGGTAGAGTCATGCTGACTTAGCACTGAGCAGAAGTGCCACTTCGGAGGGATTCAACGAAACTCTGACGCTCTTACGTTCTCGGTCGACTGAGACGGACAAAGCCGACCAAGAGTGTACGCACGCACTGAATGTAAGACGAATCATACACGTAGGGCAAAGGGACTAGTAGAAAAGGTCCGACACGAGTTCTCAAAGCGTGATGCCTTTCCGAAAAGGCTCTCAACCTGATACAGTCAAAGGGTTGAGGTGATACCCGTGCATGATGAATGACTGCTGAACAGGATTGGGCACTGTCATGCTATTCTAAGAAAGGAAGGAGATATTAAGAGACCGCCACGCTGCCACGCGGCAGGGGAATATGGCGCACATGCTAAAATTGGAGTATAAGTACGAGTAATAATTACGCGTAGAAAGGAAATAAAAGGGGGAAACAGAGAAATGAAAGGGCGCATGAGAAAACAGGCAGCATAATATTACGCAGACTGAGCTTTACAAATGGCATGGAGCAGACAATACGAAGCTTGACACCGGGGAAAACGCAACGATACATGTTGGCCAAAGACCCGGTGCTCTTCATTTTGAGCCAATTCAAAAATATGCAATCTTTTTTTTTTTTTCAAATTTCCTCGAGCCAGCCAGGCGTAACAAACGCTTTATCGCCCAGTGCTAAGCGAACTTTTTATACGACTACAGAGTAATATATTAAGCCAGTCTGGATATCGTGTTACGGCGGATTGAAGTTTCAAGCGTGCCATAAATCAGGAAAGTAAAAGTCCCCCATCATCTGCTCTTGAAGTTGTCCAAAGAAATTTTCACTCTCCAATACTTCATCAGCATTCCCTGTAGCCGGTAGGCCATCTAGGCATAGGCCGGTATGATGGTCCCTCTCGCTAATGTTCGCAGAAGCTTGCGGTTCCATGTTTGACCTCTTTTGTCGCCAAGATTTCAGATGGCCACTATCGCTCATTTGTTTGACAGTTGTCTCGCACTGGTTCAAGCAGATGTCGGCTAGGTCCCAGTTAGCGCAGGATTTCATCTCCCGAAGGTGATCGATGAACCGTCGAGCACTGCGGACGCATTTTATCGAGACGTTATCGTCATGTGCTTCTAAGGCGCATCTCATCATCAATGTGGCTGCTGATGCGAAATGGTAGGCAATATCTTTTGGTGGTTCATGGGGTCAGCATAGTTCTATATAGATGAAAGGGCACCCTACTTACAAGGCAGCCAAAACACCTTCGTCTCTTCCACGGATATCGACATAACAGAATCCACAAATGCGTCGCCGACTTTCATGCATCTGATTTGGTAATATTGCACTTCAGCGTCGTCAGCAAGACGTGTTGTTTGCAAGGCAGCCCGCGCGATGCACATCTTGACCGCTAGGAATGACAACTGCAAATTCAAGGCTCCAGGCTGAGTTCTTTCAAAAGCTTCGTTTTCTGGGTTCAACCATGGTGGCCATGAGTCCTGCAGCTCATCTGCATTAGCGTCCAAGCGTCGCAGGCTCTTGAGCGTCCCTTCCAAAGAGCCAGGCTGTAGTGAATAGACGATGGCCAGTATTTCCTCTAGAAGTTGTGTTAGACGACACAGAGAAATGAAGGAATGCGCTCCTTTGAGGCGTGTCTCAGATGCAGGGGCGTGCCCTCCCGTATCGTCAAGAACCATGCACAATTCAGGTAGTTGAACATCCCATTGACCACGATGGATGTGGCCCGGTGTTCCGTGACACAGGCTTGCCCTGTAGAGAGTCTTCTTTAGTAGAGTTCCGATGATGTCAAGAGATTTCGGAGGTTTTTAAACTAGGACGAAAAGAGAAGAGAAGTTCACTGTTAAAAGGAGCTTACCACACGTCGTGGATCAATAAGGTCCACCAAGTCTTCACCCTGAGATTTTTCTGCCTTGGATTCAGTCTCCATTTCCCTGGGTCCCGATTCAAGCCCAGACTCTGGGCGAGAGCAACGCAACTGCCAATATTGATTGCGTTATAAGTGATTGATGTTATCGGCCTTCCGAGTATATCCAGAATGCAGGCCAGCACCGTTGACATACTCGGCGCCTGAAAATCCTTGTGCATGGCGCTGACAGCAATATTCCAAATGTATCGCAAATCAGGCGGGTTCCGCCCACTGGCCGCAATCTTCGGCGATAGATCCCAAGACAAGAGCGTGACAGCGTATATTTCGCAAATAATTGTATACGGGAGAGACTTTGACTGATATGCTTTCCTCACAGCCGTTTCATCTAAAAGAGGGAAAGCA